CATTTCTTTTAATGGCTATTTCATCGTCCTTTATGTTACAAATCGAATTTCTGGTTTCAGTACTTGAAAGTTGAATAATTGATAACTGAGCAAGTACCCATTTTTCCTACATGGAAACAGAAAAGGAAAAAAAACCTTGTAAGGAAATAACTGCATATTTTTTCATATGATGTTCTTCTACTCAAACCAAGCGTACTGTGAATTCATGGCTAAAGTTCTGAATGGATCTGCTAATTCATCTGAACAACTTCTAAAGAAACCAAAGTCTTGTCTTTTGTTTTTCTTTTCCCTAGTTTGTTGGAATCCTTTGATGGGTTTTCACTTTGGCTTCCTAGCATGTTCAAGAAGGTTCAAATTTTTGGTTTTGCTAAAGACTCCAACATTTGCAATTGCATGTTCTCTCTAATGGGCCATTTTGAATTCTGACATGCAGATGCTGGTTTGATTGAAGGGACTAAGGAAAGGGAAGTTTTGATATATGCATGGAAGGAAGAGAAGGGATGAGTTCTGGGGTTACAGTGATAGGAGCAGAAGCTCCATCAGCCTATCACATGGCACCAAGGAGTGAAGCTCCGAGTCAGGGTGGTCCTCCGGTGCCTGAAGCACCAGCTGCAGCTATTGGTGTGTCACCAGTGAGTGTGGCATTTGATGGAACATCAGTTAAGAAGAAAAGGGGCAGACCAAGAAAATATGGACCAGATGGGTTGGTGAATATGGCATTGTCACCAATGCCAATCTCATCTTCAGCACCATTTTCTAATAACTTTTCATCTGGGAAGCGGGGGAGACCAAAGGGGATGGATTACAAGCTGCCAAAGAAAGTTGGAGTGCATTATCTTGGTAATGAGATTTGATACTTGTTCTTAGCCTTAACATTTGGTAGTTTCTTTCTTTGTTTGACAGGGAAATTACTTTTCTTGCTTCTTCAAGTTTGATTCTGATAAAACTTAGACAAAACCTTAATATTCTGCTGTCTGCAACACATTAGCCACCATGCTTGAATACATGGAAAATGTCTGTCTTTTTTTTTTATTTGCAAATACTTGAAAGAACTCATCCTTTTCGTTCTGTGGTCTTTTTTTGAAAGAGGTGAAATAATTTGTTTCCATGAATAGAAAGGTGTTTTCTACGTTAGTAAGGGAGTGTTGAATTGCTGTCTGACCACAGTATTAAGGTTTTGTTGGTTGCTATAACTACATGAGCTGCATTTGCCTCTATTCTTAAGGTTTTAGAAGTCTCCTCATAGTTCATAATGTATGTATCCTGGAACAAATATGTATTGTTCTTACATACTATATTATTTGACTGCTATTTTTGAAATTTATAACTAATTAATTACTTAAAGTTTCAACTAATTTCGACTAACATCTATTGCTGCTACTTCTGTAGGTGGCTCTGATGGTACAAGCTTTATGCCCCATATCATTACTGTCAATAGTGGCGAGGTATGCTTTGAGGGAAGGGAAAAAATAATATTCTATCTTCATTTGAAACATGAGTTTGTTTAAATTTCTCTCTTAAACTACCATATATTTCATAACTTTGAGTGTCTGAATTGAAATATATACGTTTTAGATTTCTGTCATTAACTCACCCTGCATATAAGGATATTGTGGCTCGAGGAATCATGTTTTGTTTCCTTGATCTATTTGTTTATATGGAATGCAAGGATGACGTGGTTTGAATTTTTGTTTTTCTCTGATACCATATTTATGTTTGCTATAGAAAGTGATTGGGAGAAAATAAATTCCGTTAATAGTGTAAAATGAATTCACCCCAACTTTAACAGAATTACATCATGTGCTTACCAAGATCTAAGTAACTGATAAACTGTGAGTAACTTACAAAACTGACTAACTCTCGTAGTAACTAACAATGTTATATATTTGAACAGACTAATCTATTGCTATACAAGGTAAAATAAAATGAGAAAACTATACTCCAATAGTTATATACAAGTTTTTTGTGCTTATGCTGATAATTGTTGTTGCATAGTATATTGGTGTTTGGGATGTTGCACGCTTATATTACTTTGTTATGAAGTGCGTTTTCTTCTCAAAAGGATTATATTATTTTGTTCATTAGTTAAATTAGGTGTATAATATTGAACAAGGACGAAGTAAAAGATCTATATTGGGGCCTTAAAACATTTTTCGGAAGTGCAAAACATGCAGTGTGGTTTGTTTTCAACCCATTTTCTTTTGTCAAGGATTTTAGCTCAAGTGTAATGTATTTGTTGCTACACTTCGGTTCTAGATCTGTAGTATGGCACGATGAACAAACAATAGTTGTATGTGGTTCTATTTCATCATGTGAAGTCAATACAAATTTAGCTGTATTTATTAAATTTCAAAACAAAAACTGATTAAAAGAGATAAGTTTCAAGTGTTTTTGCATTCCTATCTCTATTCAACAGGGAAAACCCTGTATTTTGATATTCCCTTAACGTGCATTGTATACTGTAATGTTTCCTGCAGAATAGACAATTGAATACTGTTATTTGTTTTGCACTATTGTTGTTTCAGGACATAGCAATGAAGGTCATATCTTTTTCTCAACAAGGACCGCGTGCTATATGCATCTTATCTGCTAGTGGTGTAATTTCAAATGTTACACTTCGTCAGCCTGATTCTTCTGGGGGAACTTTGACCTATGAGGTGCTGCTGTTAATCGTCTAATTAGTACATGTTTTGTATTTTATTTGAGTTTAAACTTGCCTTTCTGTAACTCAGTTCTGAATTTGTTTCTGTCTCACATATCATGCTTTTGGAAATTAGGAATGAAGTAGGCATACCCTTTTGTAATACTAGAATTAAAATAGCTGCTCTGGTAAGGACTTTTGAAATAGGAGAAGCAAAACCTTTGGTGTATAATTATGTCTTGTTGGCAATTTGCAAATTGTAATATTGTATATGATCATCATTCACTTAGAAATTGTACTTAGCCATTTGATTTCTGATACTAGGTTCATCATGAAGATGAAGGGTGCTGTTAATCGTATGTTTACTTTTCTTTTTCCTTTTCTGTAGGGCCGTTTTGAGATACTTTCCTTGTCTGGATCATTCATGCCTACTGAAAACCAAGGAACAAGAAGCAGGTCTGGAGGAATGAGTGTTTCATTGTCAGGTCCAGATGGTCGTGTTGTAGGTGGTGGAGTGGCTGGTCTACTTGTAGCAGCAGGTCCTGTGCAGGTGAACATTCCTCACTCAATGTTATTCCCAATGATGAATGTGATCATGTGTATGGTTTGAGTGCTAAGGACTAATGTTGAATTCAAAAAGTCTTCAACATACCATATTTTCTGTGTTGTCGAAAGCTTCATCAAGAAGTTAGACATAGCATTTCATTCCTCAAGGCTCAAATGAAGGATCACTTGGATGCCTTTATGTTATCAGGTGGTGGTGGGAAGTTTTTTGCCATGCAGCCAGCAAGATCTGAAGCCAAAGAAGCCAAAGTCTGATCATGCACCTGCTACTGTTACCCCTTCCATTGCAGTGTCTTCTGGACCACCACCCTCTACCAATGGTGGTGAAAAGGAGGTTGTCATGGGTGGACACATACTGCACAACTCAGGAGCAACGCTTAACACAAACCTATCTCCTCCCTCGGCCTTTCGCCGGGAAAACTGGGTTAACATGCACTCGATGACAGACTCAATGAAGTCAGCCACTGATATCAACATATCCTTGCCTGATAGTTAAGTAGATGATCAACCTGCAGTTGCAGATTCTCTTGTGTTGCTGACAACATTCATGACTGAGCTATTTATTTAATGTTTCCAAAGTTGTTCTCTGTGCGTAGTTTCCACTTGTTTCAAAACCTATTATCTGTTGTTTATGACCATAGGATGAAATAGTTGACTAGCAGTGTAAGTTGCAGCTAGGTTTCTACAATTTTCTTTGCCTATCAGAGCATCTGATTCCTCGGCTGATTAGGTAGATGCTGCATTGTGCAGTATTATGAGTAGGCTAATTCGGATGTAATCAAAATTAATTTGCTTATTTTACAACTCAATTTGTTGGAACTTTTATGTTCATCTATCTAGTCACTTGATGTTATGACTATACTTGCTTTTAATAAGTTTAATGTTGTATATATTTGAAATTTCTAGACTTGGAAAGAATGCGTAAATGTAGACTGATGTAGGTAAGTGTTGGTATTTTCATATGGGAAGATATCAAACTGTATTTATGACAGCACTTTCTCATAAGAAATAAATAGGAAAACTGAGAATTGTTATAAATAGAAGTTGGTTGAAAGAAATAAATGGAAGAACTGAGGCAATAATGAATACAACTTTAAACATTCAACAAAGATGACAATCTTCCTGTCTGCATCTTTGGTTCAGAATTTTAGATAGTTAACCAATATGATCCTGCCACCTGTAGAAAATAACTGAGTTTTTGCACATTGGATACGTTTAAGTAGACTAGTTCCTAAAGTTACCCATTTTTCTTTTGAAAATGATATCAGTTAGACATTTTGGTTCAAATGTTAAGAGTTCATAATTTGAACTTTTCTCATTGTCCTTTATTTGAACTGAATTCGGTATGCATATATTAATTTTGCCTTTGACTTTGGTTTACATTAGTAGGTTTGATTTCTTGGATAAAATTGACTGATTTTGTATTGTTAAAAATCGAATTGATCTTCATTAATGAAAATGTTTCGTTACATATAATAGTTTTATATGATAGTTTTATATCGTTTAGAAGTTAAAATCAAGTATAATTTAATATATTTTTCTTCTTTTTAACTTTCTAATGTGTTTTTAAAAGATAAAATGTTACAAAAGTTATAAGTTTCAAAATAGAAAATATCTTAAATACAATTTGTTTTTTTATAAAAGTTATAAGTTTTAAAGCGGAGAATATCTTGAATATTTAACAAAAATAATTAATAATTAAACTTTGTATTTTGTATTTTTAGTTATTTCATAGCTCATTCAAGTTTTAAAAATATATAAAGATGAATTTGTCAGGTTAAAAACTAGAATTGACATATAAATGAATGAGCAAGCATATGAAAATCTTCTTTATATCTTGCAACTCTATTCATATACATGTTTATACTAAATAGATTAAAATGAAGATTGAAATTCATGTTTAAGATAAAAGCCATATTTAAACTTCTTATTAAAAGTATGTTGGAAGAAGCCCTATGATTCTAGTGTGAAGTGACTGTTTACTATTTAAAGTATTTTAAATCAAATTTTACCAAGACAAGCAAATTATCAAAACAAAAAAAGTAACATTCCACAAATTTTAAGCATACCTAATCTGAAATCATCCTCCAATTAGTGACTTTCTACTATGATGTTAAATAAATGTGTTTAAATGGAAGTTCTTCCCATTGTTGGTATCTTTGAAAATTAGTAGCTAAACTTTTTATTCAATTGCTTTATTCTAGGTCTCATTCTCCATTCATTTTCAAACTAAAATATATTTTGTATAGAGCAATCTTCATTGCTTGAAGTACTAAAACACTAAAAAAGTCGTGTTTATGTTTTAATAAAACAAACCCTTGGATAAATACTAACCATGAATTATTAAAGTTGAGGTCATCCCTTCAACATAAATTTATATAAATAATATTTTTTGAAAAATTCATCACATGTATTATAATATTATCTCATTTAAATTGATATGTCAAAATAAATTAATTATTTATCATCACATAAAAATATTATTAAAAAAATAACAAAAGAAAAACACATAAAACCAAACTAAACTTACATATATAACAATTTTTTTTTCAAAAGAAGTTAAATAACATAAAAAATTTATATCTATTGTGAAAGAAATAACCATGTTTATGAAAAGTAAAATAAAAAGGTTAGGTTGAGTTGAAATAGAAGTGTTGCATTTAAAAGAATTAAAGAAAAGATGATATGTTTTTAGGTATAAAAAAAGAGTGAAAATAAGATAGGATAGAGTAGAGGTTGCTTTTGTGTTCCCTAGAAGTTAAGCTAGTTATGGAAGGAAGGTTTATAGGAAAAGAAGAAAAGTGTAAAGTGTAGTTCACTTTTTCACAAGAATAAATGTTACATACGTCAAACACTTTGATTGTCACCCACTCCCTATCAAGAAATTTGTGCTTAGCAAATGAGTAATAGCATTAATGTCTTCATTTAATTTCACTTTCTTTCTTCAACCATAATCAATGCACAACTCTAATTCTTTCATAATTTTTTGTACCAAACCTTAAAAGAATTCGTCCTTTCGTCTAAAAATGTAATTGAAGGTTTTTTATATAAATAAAAAATAAAAAATTCAACAAAACTTTTATTTCCTTTTCTTTCTTTTATCTTTTTTTAATTAGCTTCCTACGCCCAAATTTTTATAGACCCGTTTCACACAGCCTCCTATTGGGAAATGTACCTAGAAGAAGATAAAAAATATAGGCATTGGATAAAATGATATCCAATGGTTGAAAAAAATTGGCTGGTTTGTGCATAATATTTATTACTATAAATAATAATGAAGACAGTAAAATATTTCAAATTCATTAATATACATATTTTTTGTTCCTTTTGTTGTTATAATTAAAATGATTGAATTCTCCTTTTTTTCCCACAAAGACTCTAAATATTTGAATTAATTCATTTTGATTTTCTTTTGATCAGAATTTACTGATAAAGAATGTTATATTTTAACTCAAATTTTGGGTCCCAATTTTTCTGTCTTCAAAATCTTACCTCCCATCACGAAATCTTAATAATTATAAAAAGGAGGAAAATATAAAGAATAAAGTGAAGTTATTTAAACTAGATTGAATTTGAGTTACAAAATGTAATAAACCAAACAAGATAATGTTTTTTTTAAACCTACGCTATTATTTGTTCTCAACATTCGTGAGTCCAAACCGTTTGTTATTTTTTGTTTTTTTTTTCAATTGTAAACTTCAAATTATTTAAGTAAAAAATTGTTGTAAATAATAGGTTTAATTAAAAAATTAAACTAAATTTGAGTAAAATAATAGGTTTAATTACATTTTTAATTCTAAAATATAGGATAAATATATTTTTAGTTTCTCAATTTTTAAAAAATATATTTCATTTTAGTCCTTCAAAATTTAGTAAAAGGTAGTTTTAGTCCCTAAATACTAAATTTCAACAACTTTAAAACAGTTTTAAGAAAATCATTTTAGTCCCTCAAATTTATTATTTAAGGAAACTCGTGCTCTTTTCTTTCCATTTTATTGGAGTAAAATAAGTTTTCTTTTTTAGTTTAGTGGACCACAACAAAAACCATTATAAATTTCAAGATGTAAAAACATAATTAACAAAGAATTATATCAAAATCAAATATTAACTTCTTTGATGTATCTCTAGTTGTACAAAAGGTAGCACAATGTAAAAACTTAGAAAATAGAAAAGTGATAAGTGTTTTAAAATAATAAAATCGAGTATTTTATTTTAAAATAATTCAATAATATAAATAAAATTTCTTAAACTCGTCTCATTACTTAAAACAACAACTTTTCTCTAAAAGTTTGTTCCTTGATGTTTTCTATCTTCTCTCTAAGATATTTGACTCCTAAATCATATGTTTGACAATCAAAAAGTGCCTAGGAGATCACAACAGAATAATCTACATTTCTATTCGATCAATTTCTGGTTTAGAGCAAGTAAGTTTCTACCTCTTTTTTCTTTTAGTTTTCTATTCATGATCATGCTTATGAACTCCTTCGCATGTGTCATTGGTCTTCTATTTCTCGTTCTTTGTTAATTTGAGGTCCTAAGGACTCACTTCAATCACAATTTGATTATTTGTAGGCGTTTCTAGAGTTCCTTGCGTTTGAAGCAACGAGTGTGCATGTTTAGAATGTGGTAGCGTTTCTGTTTAAGGTAAGGAGAGCTAGTAACCTTTATTAATGTTATTTCCAATTCATGAGTTTAGTTAGGTTGTGTTGAATTCGGTTAAAATAAGAATTTTGCATGCTATTGTGTAAATTGTTATTGGAATGGTTTAAAATAGTTAAATTGATTTCTTGTTACTATGATGAATATGTTTGGAATGAATCTTGATTGTGAATTAGTTATGCTTGTGAAGTTGGTATGTAATGGTATTGGATTAAGAAGTTGGGAAGAGAAGGATAAGCTAGGTGGTAAGTCAAATTTGGGTCTACAAATGATGTTTTACTAGATGACTTTTTGAAATAATGGTATAATGAAGAGATGGTGATTTAGGAACTATTTGGTGTTATTTGAAACTTGGTTGGGAGATGAATGTGCAAAGGAATTGGTTTAGAAATGTAAAGTAAACAATAAATGGTGTCTTGAAATGGAGTTTTGGTGTATTTTAGAGGTTTTGGATAGTGATATTTTGAATTAGAGGTTCTGGGTCAAAATGGAGAGTATTGATTAGTCATTTCTGACTTGTTAGAGTTCCTAAGTTGGTTAAAAATGAGCTGGAACTTGTGGAATTGAATTTTGGTTTCCAAGATAAGGATTTAGTTGTTTTTGAGTTAATACCTTGTTGTAAACAATTGGTAATTAGTTTAAGATAGGTTATACACATTTGTTTAAGTCTATAGTAGTTTAGAATCCAATCTAGGATTGTTAGAAGTTGGTAAAAATGGTTAGGACAGCTCATGAGTGTTTTAGGGGTGTTATTTATGCAGATTTCGTGATGCACAATTATGCAACAAGGCTAGGCGAGCAAGAGGGGTTCGTTAGGCGAGTTTAAGTGAGTTTTGGCATTAAGTTCCAGTGACTAGGTGAGTTAGCTAGCTGGGCTCTTAGAGCTTGTTGTTTTGGTTCTCGCTGGAAGAGTGGGGACTACTCGTTGGGTGAGTTTTTAAGGTTTTAGGCAATGAAGTTTAGGAGCTAGGCGAGATCCCTTGTTGGGCTTGGGAAGCTCCGTGTTTGGGTTCTCGCTGGGCGAGCAGTTTGTTGCGAGCAATTTGTGCTTGTTGAGCGAGCGGGTTTGGGCTATTTTGAGTATTTTGTTTTCTGTTCTCTTTTATGCCTGGTTTCAGATGTTGGAATGTTTTGCATGATGCTCAGTGATGCGATTTAAAATGATATGATGGTTTGAAAATGTGATTGAACTCTAAATGG